AAAAATAAAATCTTTTTAAAAATGTTTAATGTGACTATATGTACATACACTATATACACACACAAATGTGATACATATGTTTAGGGGTCTGAGGAGGGAAATGTGTTTGTTTTTGAGGGATGGAGATCAAGGTCTCACTATGTAGCCCAGGCTGGTTTTGATCTCAGAACTCTTCTGCTTCAGCTTCCTGAGTGCTAGGATTATAGATACGTACTACCATGTCCAGCTCTGTTACTCAGTTTTGTTTCAAAAACTGAAATTCTGAGCTGGGCTTGGTGGCACACGCCTTTAATCCCAGCACTCGGGAGACAGAGGCAGGTGGATCTGTGAGTTCAAGGCCAGCCTGGTCTACATAGTGAGTTCTAGGACAGCTGGGCCTACAGGGAGACCCTGTCTCAAAAAAGACCAAAAAACCCAAAAACCTGAGATTCTGGAAATTCTGATGCATGCTACAACATGGATGAACCTTGAAGACAGTATGCTAAGTAAAATAAGCCAGGCACCAAAGGACAGATAGTGTCTGTATGATTCTTCTTCTATGGGGTAGCTAGTTTAGTCAGATTCATAGAGAAAGTAGAAGGGAGTTGCCAGAGCCAAGGGAAGGAAATGCTTGGGATGTTTCATGGGTGCAGAGTTTCAGTACAGAAGAGAGAGGGTTCTGAAGATGGGTGGTGGTAATGGTTCCACCACAATGGGAATGTACTTACTGCCACTGGTCAGTCATTTAAAAATGATTTAAATGGCAACTATATATATTTTACCACAATTTAAACAATAATAATGTTTTAGAATGAACATCAAAGACTGCTTTTAAGGGGAGTAGAAGCCTCAAATTGGCAGTCTTTGGCCCACTTAGATTAGAGCAACAATTCAGCATCACTGGCTCAGGGCCTGGGATTTTATAGGATCCAAGGGCTTATGTGTCTCCCCAAACCTGTCTATGTGCCAGCTAGTATAACTGTCTCTTCCTGTATGTTATCACCCAGGTGCCTTGTAAATCACCTCAACTCTGGGGTAGGGCTCTAGTGGTAGCCCCAATGGCCTTCCTTTCCATGGGGCATCTCTGCCTAGCATGGTAATTTTCCATTCCAGTCCTGTTCCAGTGTCTCAGCTGGGTTTGAGCCTTCTTTCTTGGTTTGGGGGGTGCATAGCAGGTGTCCTGGGACTGTTCCAGCAGCAGCTGATCTACCACCCCAGAGAGCTCAACATCAGGAGGAAATTTCTACAGCTTTCTTGGCCTCTCTGTTCTTAGGAGTGACTTACCCTCTGTTCTTTGTAGGTTTTCTTTTCTTCTGCCTGCAGTATTACTGTGGACAGCACCCTGAGGAAGAAAGCTGAAAAGTTCCAAGCCCATCTGACGAAGAAGTTCCGGTGGGACTTTGCTTCAGAGCCAGAAGACTGTGCCCCAGTGGTGGTGGAGCTCCCAGAGGGCATTGAGACTGGCTAACTGTGAACCCTTAAGCCATGAGAGGCCCTTCTCACATGGCTGCATTCCTGGCCCCTCCATTTACCCATCTGTCCTGGGACCCTGCAGAGCAGTAGTCCCGCCAGGTTCTGCAAAAGTGGAGCCAGAATTCCTCCCCACTGATAAGTAAGTTCCTTTATTACAAAGGAAGCATATTTGTAGGCTTCTGTCAGACTGGCCCTGGTGCCAGCCTGACTGAATTTCAGACAGAGGCCCTTACAGAAGCTCCTGGTGAAGCCTGCAACCGTCTAAGTCCTTCTGACAACAAGAAAGTGAACCCGAAGTCCAAGAGAACTGGCTGCTTGTTCCATAAGCGTTAAAGAAAGAAAGAAACCAGCCAGCCAACTCTGGACTGTCCCAGGGTCTAAGGTATTAGTTGGTGATTTTGAAATTAAATGTAGGTTTGAAATCAAATATGGTTTGTACAGAATTTCTGCCTGCCCCTAGTTGAATGAGAATCTGACAGAAAATGGGCCAATGAGCTATCAGGAACCCCAACCAGAGAAGGGTAACAAGGAAGATGGTGGGTTGAGTCTAACAAATGGTCAACTTTGGCTTCCTCCTGAGTCCCCTTCTATCCAGAAACCCCAGAATTTGGGCTTGGGAGCCTACTGGTGCTGTCACCTCCCATCTGTTCCATTCTGAGACCTGGCGCCTTGAAGTGGGACTTGGCAGCCTCCCCCATGCCTCTGTTCCTCACCAAGGCCACTGTGACTGTTTCTGATGACCTGGAGATTCAACAACCAAAGGAAAGATTCTTGCCTCCAGCCTGTTTCTTGACCCTATTAAAGTTTGGTCCCTTTTTTTTCAAAGCTGTGGAGATGGCCTAGGTGGTTTAAATCTTTCCAGCCCCACTGTGGAGTTGTCACCAGTGCTGTGCCATTTCTGGCATTGGAGTCCTGAGAGCATGGTGGTATGCAGAGTTGTCACAAGATGAGCTCACAGGCTCTCCACCCTGACCTCAGGCTGATTGCTGCACTCGAGTCCAGTGCCATCCTCTTCTGAGAGCCCACATCAGGCCTCTGAAGGAGATTCCCTGCTGGTTAAGACTTTTATGTCTTGTTTCCTTGGAGATGTTTTTCCAAGAGCATAATGTACATTAAAATCTGAGTTGAGACTAATCCCCTTGTGTGAATCTCTTGCAGCTAATCTGCCCAGTTTCCAGAGCCGCTGTCCATAGACAACATCTATAGCAGAGTATCCAGGATTCCCTGAACAGCTCCTGCAGTCTCTGGAGGAGGCAGACAGTCAGCCTTGTCTCTTTTCCCAGTGAGGTGTCAGAGACAGGCGTGCCCTGTAACTATAATACCTAAAGTTTCACCTTGTGGGAATTCGCTTCTTTTTCTCCATAAAACCCACTCATTAGAGCTACCTGGGGAGTGTGTTAACAGTGCAAATTCCAAGAAGAGAAATCCTGACATACGCTGCACCATAGATGAACCTTGAAAACCATGTGTTGGGGGCTGAGAAGATGGCTCAGTAGGTAAAGTGCTTGCTGTTAAAAACATGAGGACCTGAGATCAGATCCCCAGCACCCATGTAAAAAGCTGGGAGCAGCAGTGTGCAACTGCATTCTCAGTGATACTGAGGCAGGAGGATCTCAGGGGCTTGCTGGCCAACCAGTCAAATTGATTTGCTGAACTCCAGGTTCAGTGAGAGTCCCAGTCTCAAAATAAGGTGGAAAGTGACAGAAGATGACATCCAGTGTCAAACTCTGACCTCCACACACACTTGCATGCACACAGCATACACAAGCCTATGCCACACATACACAAACACAGAAATAACATGCAGAGTTAAGGAGCCAAATGATGAGCACTTAACTCCCATGTGGTGTCCAGAGCAGGCAGGTCATAGGATGAACGCCTGCCCAGGTTTCTTTAGGGGTGACAAACTGTCCTGGGGTGTGAAGGAGGTGGTGGAGGTAACAACCTTGTGAATACAATATACTAAGAACCACTGCCAGCACCACCAATGTATACTGTGAAGCAGTGACTTGGACTGTGACACTTGTGAAAGTTCATGTTCCCATCTCATCCCACAAGGATTCAGGGTCTGAATGGCACATACTCAGTCACACCTCACACTTAATGTCAGGAGCACCTCTGGGACAGAATTGTCTCCCATTGATATTTCCAGGGCAGCATCTCAAAGTTAAATCATGTGACCTCATTCCCCAAGTATCCCTGTCTTCCTAGATCCTCCTGCCCCCACCTTCCACATGTGCTTAAATTGACTTAAACAAGAATAGTGCTGTTGACTATGTGCTCTGCTCTGTTACTTCACTTATTCCTCACATCTGTGTGGGAAGTGAATGTCTTTCACACATTTTGACTTGTGTGAAAATGAGTTCAGAGAAATTCAGAATTTTCTAGGGTCACACATCAGTAAGTATTGAGGACAAGAGTCCAGCCCATGCTTACAGTGCCCACAGCCCACTGTGGTACTGTGCTCAAGGCTACAATTTACCTTCATTGCCCTTCTATGCCCAGGGCAGCCTTCCCTCCACCTTGCCCCCAAGTCCAGCCTTGGCTTTGTTGACAGCCAGCTGTGTGACCTTGGGCGAGCTGCTTGTGTTCCCTGGGCTTCAATTCCTCTATATTGAAGAGATGTGGGGTTTTTGATAGAGATTTTCCAGGCTCCCTCAAGTATTTAAAAATTGGTTCTTAGGTTATTTTTAAAAATTTTAAAGGAAAATTGCATTCATATAAGGTGATATGTCTGGCTGACATAAAACAATAGGTCTCTTGGTTGAGGCTGAAATGATAGAACTTGAGGTCTTCTCCATGTCCCAGCTGGCAGTCTTCTGTGTGTGTGTGTGTGTGTGTGTGTGTGTGTGTGTGTGTATGTGTGTATGTATGTGTACATGAGCATGGACGTCAAAGGACAACACCAGAGGGTTGGCTTTTCCCTCTACCATGTTGGTCTCTGGGATCAAATTCAGTCCTGTTTGATAAATAAGAATATGGAAACAAGTTAATTATCACTTAATACTTGCAGTATTTATGGGAGAACAGCCTTCAATGCAGAACCATCAGTTGGCTGATCTCAGCTTCCTTCTTGTTCCAGCACATCCAGAAGTGAAGCTATTGGCAAGACCTGGCCTGGTTTGCAAATCTCAAACACCAGCCTCCTGGGGTCTGGCTCTTATTTGCAAGGTTGGTTTATCCTATTAACAGAATCAGCAGCGGCAGTGACTTGCCAACCCCTTCCACAGGCCCCATGGCCAGCCCTCCCTTTCCTGAGCTTTGTTCTGTTTAATTTCTCACCACTTGAGCGGTGGTGGAGTTCCCCGCCGTTGATTGCCTCTTACTGTCGGTAATTATGTCCCCAACGTCATCCCTTGTAAATATTATTTAATATTCCCAGGGCACTGTGACATGCTGGTCTCTCCAGCTAATCAGACTTTGGCTTTACTGAGATACAGTCCCCTGCTGAAATGGGGGCCAGAAACACAGCCTTGGTCAGAGCCAACACTGAGTCATATCTGCAGATGCATGGCAGAACAGAATGGCGGTGCTCACCTGAGCTACCCAGAAATCCCAAAGCCCATGTGGTCCTTTGTGCTCTCCATTCCCCTGCTGACCAGAGACAGCCTCCTAATCTCAGATCCTCTGTCTCCCTGGGCAGGCTTAGTTCCCTTAGACCCATTTAGACCTTTCTGTGTCTGAAGTAACCAAGGCCTCTAGTCCCGGTGCCACTCATTTTTCCCTGTATCCCTGGTCTCCTGTGTGTAAAAGATAAGAGCCAGAAATCAGGCCAGCTGCTGGCTGCTGCTGACGGTGGGATGCTCACTGTCCTTAATCCTGCCTTCAGCCATTCCCCAATGTGAGACTGTTTTCCTGGATCTGGTATTCTGTGTACTAGATTGCCTGTTCCCAGGGTGATCAGACTGTCAGTTAAGCTGCTTGAAGGGAGGGAGATGCAAGTCACTTCTTAGTTGTCTGATGTCCAGGACCTGTTAGAACTTCACTTTTCTTGGATCTTTGATTTCTTCCTTCCCCTTTCCTGCTTCCCACAAATGTTTACTGGGCTCAGGTCTAGTCTCGCTTCTGAAGGAATGCCAGCAGTTACATATTGAGAGTGAGCCCGAGAAAACTACAGGACTTTCACCAAAAAACGGGTAGGGGAGCGGGGGTGATGTGGAAGAAAGTGCATACCCAGTGCAGAGTGGAGACTCAGACTCGTGGAAGAAGTCAGAGAAGCCTGCTCCTTGTCCCACCAGCCCTTAACCATGCTTACCACATCAGATGCCACATCCCTGAGCTTAGATTCCAGTGTGGGGAGCCAGGTAGACTACAGAGCATATTATCTGTAAGAAGTTCTTGGGGTCGAGCCAAATCAAAATGAAGGGTCCTAGCAGGGTGAGGAGAGATGCTTCAGTTTGAATGGGGTAACCTTTGACCAAAGATTAGGAGGAGGAGGCAAATGAGCCTTGTGGGTATTTAGAAGTATTCCAACCAGAGCAGGGCTAGTGTATGTGTGTGTGTGTGGGGGGGGGGTCAGAATGAGAATGGAAAGCAGGGAACAATAGAGGAAATCAGAGATTAGAGGGACCAGACTGTCCCTTGTAGTTGAAGGGCTAAGTTTGTGAATGATATGATCTGACTTGTGTTTTGACAGGACTGCAAGCTGCTGTGTTTAGTGCAGACTGTGGTAGGTAGGGTGGAAGCAGGGAGACCCATGAGTTAGTGCCACTGTCCAAGTGAGAGATGACCCAGGTGACTCAGGGAGATGACAGCACCCCACCTTCTCTGGGATCATGATGTGGATAAGAGAAGACAGCACCTCCAGAAGGTCTGATGACCCCCATTTCTCTGAAGTCACAGACTGCACTCCCAGGAGTGTTATCTGTCTGTCCTCCCCCAGTCCCTCCATAGTCTCCATTAGTCCTGATTCTCACAGGACTATGCTCCATGTGGAGGGGTGGGGCAGTGAAGGCAGGCTGAGGAGGAGGTCAGTCCTAGGTCCGGGTGACAGCTGGACACTGTACTGGGTCCTTCACTTACTGTCCTTGGTCCCAAGCACCAGTTCTTCAGGATGGTATCATCCTTTCTTGTACAGACAAGGGAGCCAGGGCCAGATCTGCAAGGGGATCTCACTCAGATGCAGGCCCTGCCCAGTTC